TAAATATTCCTATAAAAATGAAATTCTTATTTTCTTCTTTTTTTCTGATGGTTTTCTTATTTCATTATACTGTTACTACAATTGCATTTGTGGCAGTGTTAATAAATATTAATTAATGTAATTTGGTATGTGGATCAACCGTGGAGTAGAACTTAAATAATAAAGACAAAAACAAAATCAACGGTGTCACGTAATATCATATGCGGCAAGAATACGCGCATTAGAATCTTGCTACGCACTTCTCAAGAGTTAACGAGCATATCGATCCCGTGTGAAGCCACAAGTACATAAAATTATCAAGTCATATATGCTTACACGTATATGTATAGTAAAAAAAATCCTCATACTCTCTTCAGACATTTCGTACCGGCCATTTTACAATCCAATCTAATTAATTTCACTATTATGTGGGGTTTAAGGCAATCGTGTTTATTCAAAAACGGCCAAGACTTTAATGTGATTATTTGCATTAATAATTCGGCAGTGTAAAGAATACAAATGCATCCATTATATTGTTTTCAATATATATATATATATACAGAGTAATAAAAAAGATTAGTGACAAATTTTTGTATTTATTAAATCATTAGTAACGTATTAAAAAAAAAACTTTGAAGAGAGTGTTATATCTTATTAAATATTAAAACAAATAATTATATATAAATAATAACGTTTAAAATGATCACCTTCGGCTTTGAATGACATTTTATATTTTAAGGAGCTTCAAAAACGCATCAATAATGATTTTTTACGGCAAAATTTTTCCAGGCAATTAATAGTGCTCCCCCCCCCCTCTCTCTCTCTTTCTCTCACAAGTCTACCGTCTTTCAGCAACATAATTTCTTTTACGTGTATACTAAATATAGGTTTTTTTAATTATATTTTCTAACACCGAGATTTCAAACAGTTTATTAAAAGAAGTTGTCATAGTAAAGATTCTTGTTCTTTTATAGCGTTACAATCCAAATTGATCCTTGGTCTTTTGATCTAGAGATGAGGTTTCAAAACAATGATTTTTCCAGAATTAGGTTGTTAGTCTAATATTCAACCCCCAACCTGAGGGATCAATGTATATATCTATTAATATATGGGACTACAATTTTTAATGTCGGCTCCGAATGACGATGGCAAATATATTTCGGCGATTCATAGCAAAGATGTTAAAAATATTCTCGATGATTTGTCTTTCGAGAAATGGTTATCTATAAAAAGATGCACGGCCATCATTAATGCGTTTTCGTAGCACCCTGAAACTTGCATCAAAGCTAAAGGTAACTTGCATGTTAATTTTTAGTATTTAATAAAATAATAGTTTTCATTTTTTATAAATATACGTTACTAATGAATTGATAAACGCAAAACTAGTGGCTAAACTTTATCATCCTATATAAGATTACGCAAAATACTCAGTATGAAAATTATTATCTTTTTCGTAGAATATATTTCGCTTCTTGATTATCGAAATCTTGGCATAATTTTATGCAGTGTAATAAGACATCGCTTAGTACGTGATGTAAGAGAATGCCTTGATTTTCTCTCTCAGAGACTCTGTAAAACCCCTATCCGTTTTTAAATACAACAAACGAAAATATCGAGAAGAATACCCTTAAGAATATCCAAGTTACCCTGTGGTTTACCATGAGCCAGATAATCGTTAGATTTTGTGACGCTCACTATGTCCAGATCGTCTCTGATTATCCATTTTATATAACGATCACGTTTCTCTGTTTCGGTGGCATTCTCCAGAGATTGCAAACCATCCATACAACCTAAATGCTGCAGATTCTGTAAGTACCGTCTGCCAAGATGACTAATGGAATATCCGACCTCTAAGCTGTCTTTATTGCCACTCATGGTTTCTTGCGTAGCGACACTTGCGACAGGATCTAAAAGTCTCGATTGCACCAGTTCAGCAGCGTTAGTAAGATTATCGGATTGCACTGATGGTTCGCCCGCGCTCAAATTATTCTGTCTTATCTGGAGACACGATAGTGTCTCGGCGCTAAGACATGTATTCCTTTCCGCGATATTTGTATTCGAATCTGCCGTTGTACGAAATGTACTCTCCTTAAGCTTCGCGTTTTTAGAAAGACCGATAAAATTTTGAATAAAGGTAATATTTGTCTCATCGAAAGAACCGAGATTTGACTGGACGGGAGCACGATCAGTTAACGTGCTTGGTGCACGTTCAAAAAAATCAATATCTTCCTGATACCTCTGTAAAAAATATTCGCACTTTTCCTGATCGGTCTGAGGATACTGGGTGTTAATCGAGTATTCGTCTCGTTTTAAGAAATCCTGATGTTTCTCGCGCTCCCTGAGTAAAAAATGCAAACTTCTACCAACTCTTTGAAAGAAACTAGGCCGTTTGTGCTCTTTGCTCGCCATTAAATCAATGGATTTTTTTGTCAACTTTTGCGAGGAATCAAGACTTCTCTGTTTACCATGAAAAAAGATTTTCGGCCGCTCTTCCGGCAAAAGATCCAGGCTCTTACAATCTGCCGTGGGTAGATCGATGCTTCTCTCGAACGATTCTAAGCTTTTATGCGTTTTTTCTTTATTACGAAAAGAGAAATTTCTACGTTTATTAGTGAAGGCTTCCTGTAACAATTCACTGTTGCTTTTCTTAAAAATCTCACCCTCCTTCTCGAGGAATTCTACGTTTCCTGAATCGCGACGCGTCTCATACGCCGTAGTGAGACGTCGTGCGCCACTCATTGTTGGATACTTAAGTTTTTTGTCACCGTCATAATCAACGTAGTCTTTCTCTTTATCCGGACCACCGAAACAATTCATCGAACCGCCTGAGGTCGCCGCGATGTCATCCCTATCGTCCGTCATCCGTCGAATGCAATTCGAATCATCTGTCTCTAGATCCTCAAACATCATGACCTCGCGATCTACATCTTTCTCAGTTTTATGCCCATGAAAAAAATAACTCTGCTTATCGAGTTGACGGGACGTTGTGTTTGGACTCCTCTCACGTGGTCTACTTAGCACCGGTTGATAATAATCGCGCGATGCGGTTGCGGGATTTAAATCGACGGTACAATTGGGGCCTAATTCCCGATTACGTCCTAAATTAAGACTGGTCAGGTCTAGAGAAGCCGCTACATCTGACGACGGTAGCGGCGCCGCTCTACTACTCGGTGTGGTTAACTTGAATGTACTAAATTGACATGGATTTGCCACACGTGTCGCGGCAACGGTTTCATTGCAGCCAGATGTGGGCTGTTGCGTGTGTCCGACTGTCACATTGCGTTGCGTTTTTCGATCGGCAATAGCGAAATTCTGGCTTGCGCAGAATTGTTGGTAGAATTGTATTTTACCTTGAAGATCACTCTTGTCCTGATTGTCCTGGTCACCACGAGTCTCCATCTCGCGTTTCTGCCGGATCGCTCGCAGACTAGCATTTGGTCCAAGCGTCGGGCCTACCGCCGCTACGGACGCATTCGGCAAACATTGCCGCGTATAGGGTCTAAAATCAGAAGAAAATGTAAGTTTTACAATAAACAAATGGAGTATGAAACATACAAAATGAAATATATTATGCATTATAAAAAAAAATTTAGCAAAATTTAAAAAGCTGTAATTTTTTTAGTTATGTAGAAATTTGTTTTGAATGAAATAGATATACTTTAGATTCATGAGATCTTTAAATAAGAAATTAAATATTAATGAAAAGTATTTCTGCAAATTATGTTTTATTACTCATATTCGGAATGGCAATTTCTTGATTCTTTGCTAGATGTTAAAAATAGAGAACATTTAAGAACAATAAAATAAAGATGCTATCACTAATAAGCGTTTAATGTTGCGTTTAAGAATTTAAAAAAAAAAAGGGTGTTCTACAATAATTTAAAAAAACCATTAACCTCGATCGATGTTCCTGATCATTGTTGGTCCCGGAAGGTAACGCCGCATTAGACGGTTGCGAATGCATGGGCGCTTGCTGTGCAGAAGGTAATGTCGGTTGTCTCGCGTTACCAAATTTCAGCATATTCCAATCGAAAACATAGTCGTAGGTAAAGCCTTGACCATGAAACAGTGTCCGGAAAAGTTGTCGGAGATGCGAATAATCCGGCCTTTCTTCGAAGCGTAAGTCTCGACAGTACCTTAAATACGACGCAAACTCCACTGCAATAATTAATAAAATGTTTACTTCTTATATATGTATAGTATATATGATATATAGAGTATAACATATATAGAGTATACAATAGATTTTGTGGTCAATTTAGAATTATTATAATTTTTGCTTGATAAAACTATCAAGACATCAATAATTTTCAAGTTATAAATGATTAAAGAATTTTTACGCGAGCTAAATTACAAAGAATCAAATTTTTTATAAAATTATATTGTTTTATAAAATATTGTTCGGTTAAACTCACAAAGGGATAGCATGACAGTGAGGGGGAGGGGA